AAACAATTAGAATATTCACTTTACCACATGTTCTCCTATACCTCTGTTATTAGATACCATAATTTTGCAAAAAGTTTCCATTTTTTGGGTAATTTTTAGTTTTTGATTTTTTTTTTTTTTGAGCAGATTTTTCTTTTCTTTTTTTCAAGTAGTATTTGAGTTAACGCTAGTAAGAATAGGAGAAGTTTTTGTTTTGGTTTTGGTTTAAATAGATAGCTACGATAAATTCGATTGAATTTTTTTTTTATTTCGCTTTGAACATTGTTTTATTTGCATTCGCGTTACGTTGTCTTTTGGTTGGGTTTTACTTTAAGGGGGCAGAAAATAGTGGCTATAAAATATACTTTTCTTTCGATCGTCCATTCGTTCGGTTCTTCATCCTCTGTATTAAAAATATATTTGAAATTCGAACTTTATTCGATACACAAAAATGTACTGTTGATGGTTTTAAAAGCTATAGTTTACTGATATCGAGAGGTCCTAACTCAGATAGGAGATAATCACACACTGAAAGATATGTAATGGTTTTAACTAGGTCGAATTTCGATGATTTCTAGAGCGTTTAGAACGCGTGTTTTAAATCAGGGAACTGATTTTTCGCTACTATGAAAATGGACAATGGTGCTCTTGTTTGACAAGATTGGAAAATATTCATCTATCCGATTGTGCTTTGCCTAAAGTTTGGCCACACGAATTACGATTTCATAAACCGAAACGATTGTGCTGTCAGCTGTCATACGGTTTACGCTCTCAATGATTTAGCATGTTGTGCTTTTTATAAACATTAAAAACTATTTTAATTTCATTTTAAATGAGAAGCTACTAGTGAAAGTTACAATAGGAGGTTACTTTGTTGTAGTTGTTGTGCCGCTATGGATCTAAATGATTTGTATTTAACATTTTCAATTTTCGAACATGTAAATAAGTTGCTGACTTGACATATAGCCAAAGCTGGTTCATATACTTAAGAAATTGGAAGAAACTAGCTTTATCCTTATTGAATTTGGACAACCATATGCTGGATCAATCGACTAAAGATTGTACTCGAAAAAATGCAACACTTTCTTTTGCGTATAACTTTTTATTGCATTGGTGAAAATTGATGAAATTTTGAGTAAAACTAGTTTAGAGTGTAATGCAAAATCTCGTCACAATCTGTCAAGTGGTTATCGAGATTGCTTCCAAGCAAGAAGAGCTTCGACAAAAAATTATGGGAGTGGTCGTGGAAAATCCAGACCAGTTCCAGAGGTGGATCGCAAAACAGTTTGGAATCGACAATTCGACCGTGTCCCGTGTGGTAAAACGTTCAAGGAGACCCAATCGACCTTTAGTGGCGAGCTGGCAGCGGAAGAAAAGCGAAGACGACCGACCCCGTGAATGCAAGGAACGTGAGGTATTACTTCAAGCACAATCCGAACCTTTCGATTCGGGACGTGGCCAAGAAGGTCAATTCTTCCGTCTGGTTCGTCCAGCAGACAATGAAGCAGACCGGACCTCGTGTCTTCAAGGTAAGGATGGCACCTAACCGAACCGATAAACAGAATACGGTGGCCAAATCCCGCGCCAGGAAGCTGTACCGCGAGTGGTTGGTGCAGCAGAAATGCATCGTAATGGACGACGAGAGGTACATTAAAGCGGACGCCAAGCAGAACCCCGGCCTGAAGTTTTCCGTTTGCTAGTCCCGCATGGATGTTCCGGAGAAGTTCCGGAAGAAGAAGGTCGAAAAATTTTCCAAGAAGTGTTGCAGGCGATTTGTGGATTCGGCAAATTCAGCAGGCCGTACATAACGATCGGCACCATCAACGGCCAAATATATAAAGAAGAATGCCTCCAGAAGCGCTGCTGTCCTTCCTCCGGTCTCACGAAGGTGACACTATGTTTTGGCCGGATCTGGCATCGTGCCATTACGTGAAACCAGTGATGGAGCCGACGATGTTGTTTTTGTGCCGAAGGAGGCAAATCCGACAAATTCACCAGACCTTCGCCCAATAGAAAAATTCTGGGCGATTATGAAGGAAACAGGGAAGATCTTCAAAAACGACAAGGATTTGAAGAAAGAGTAAATGAAAGTGTTTAAGAAAGATGGCGCAAATGTTGCACAGGATTCGATGGGTAGCGTTAAGTCCAAGGTGTTGGCATTTAGCGTAGGACAGAAGGTTGAATAAACCAATTATGCAAAAACATAGCTAATACCTATGCGTTTATTTATTCCCTGAGAGTTTCGAAAATATGTCTTTCGGATTTTTTTCGAGTACGGTCTTCACCGACAAACCGACATGAATGACCATAGCAAAAACAATGAAATTTCTGGCCAAAGCACACTACTGACATCTGGCTCCGTGTTCGCGGGAAATATTTAGATAATCCATGAACCCGCATGCAAAAGTTTTGAATTGGTTCGTGTCTGATCTATTCTGGATAAATTATTTTTATCTAGACCAAAAATCTTATGCTTTTGACAGTTCGGATCACTGCACATTTAAATCGGCCGTTTACGATTTTCGGGCATAAGTCAGAATTAAGTGTCATGACGGTTCGTCGGTGCGGAATGGAGTTTGACATTGTCTTGAACATTTTGAAATTAAATTAATGGAGTCCCGAGACAAATATTTGATATTTGATGGATTGAAGGATCTTCCAGACTGTCAGATTGCTCAGATTCTGAATCCAGAAATTATGATATGGAAAATTTTTAATTCCTGGACCTTAAAAAAAATAATCCAAGCTTGAACTTTTTTCAAGATTGTGGAACGAAGATTCAGATGTCGGATCTTGAAATTTGTCCAAGATCCCAGATTTGAAAACAAATATCGATTTAATGAATCTTAGAAAATTTTCAAGGATCAATAAAATTAAAGGAAGTATTCATGATTCTGGAATTTCTTGGCATTTTTGGGATTCTCAGGAGAATTTTGAGGTGATCTCAAAGGAAATTCTAAGGAGTATTCTAAGAGAGATCTGACTGGAATTTCGTTTTAGTTTTGAAGAATATGTACTTCAAGCAGAATCTATGGAATGCTTCCAAGGCAATTCTGAGGACCATTTGATTCCTGGTAAATGCTCAGTTGATGTACAAGGAGCAGTTCCACGCCAAATGTCAAATCGACCAGACTTAACCCTCTTCGATTAGCATAAACTTTGTAGAATTGTTTGTTATGGGCAATCATTCATATTTTTGCAAAAATACGGCCATTTTGGATCTTGTAATTTTCTTTAAAATGGTGTCTTTGACATATTTCAATAAATTGTAGCATTAGAACGTCACTTCTGAGCAGCAATACTTGTTTCTCTCGGTATCGATAACGCTTTCGAAGGTTGTTTACTCGGTCACGGTATTGTTTTCGTGCGCTTTGTTAATTGCTGGCAGCTCGGTCAGTTCTCTTTGTCGTCGCTGTTGGTGCAACATTTTCGACAATAATGGTCGAAATAAAGCAAACTTTGTGTTTTGTCTATCCAGATGGCAGTACAAGGCCAAACATGGGCGAGATTGCAAACTTCGTTGGACGCGAATCATGGTGACATATACGCCGCATATCGAATTGCTGTGGAGAAGGTGATCTACATAAAGTTTGGTATGCATTATGCCCGAAGCAACTAACTTTCCAATATGCCAATAGAAAGGTAGTGGAGGTATGAATCTCGCATGCGGGGGGCAACGTGCAATACATGCGAGTGTAAGATCTACCACCAAAAGTACCAGATTGTGATCTAACGGTGGTGCTAGCAAAATACGGAAAAGTGAAGCGTGTCATTCGGGAAAAAAATTCCTGTTGCATTGGGCCTCGATATATTCACAGGAGTGCGAGGTGTTGGACGTGGAAAAGGAGATTCCCTCCTCACTTAATTCTCTTAATTAGAAGGTGAATATATTCTATTCAGGGTATAGGGATAAATGCTTCCTATGTAAGGCGCTGGGACACAGGATGCTTGGAAAGCATCCAGATGTGGGCAAAAAGCAGGATGAAGAAAAACAGGCATCGGCGGACAGTAGCAGCCAGGAAACAGAGAAAGGGATAGAGGTTCTGCATAAAGAGGTGATGAAAATGGACGTGGCGACCCCGGTGACTGAAATCGAATCCGAACCTCAACTGACCTGGTGCCAGCAACGGCAGAAGCATTGGAATGATCTATACGAGTACGAAGCGATGCAAAAGAAGAAAAAAACGGGAGAAGAAAAATGAAGAACTCAATCCCTCTAAATGTGCATAAAATATATTAGTCCCTCGGCTCCGTTTAGCTTCAAGAGACAGTGAGCCTTCTAAATGAACACCATGGAAAATATTTTTAAGCATAATTACTAAGCAAATGCGAGAATAATTCCAAGTGAATTCTGAGGATAAACTCAACGGTAAATTGAAGCATGATTCCACGAAGGAAGTGGAGAAAATTTCATGAATGCCAAAGGAGTATTGGCTAGGAGTTTTGAGTTGAGTTACAGACGAATTTTAAATGAATTCTGAAGAGAATTCCAAAGGAAAGGCTATAATTTCAAGATAATGAGGAGTCTTCGATGGAAGTTCTGAGGATAAATCTATATATTCAAGGTAGCCGGCGCCGGTGGTGTAGTGGTAAGCGTGACTGCTTTCTAACACCCCAATGGGTCTGGGTTCAATCCCCAGCCGAGGTCGGTGGGATTTTTCTGAGGCATAAAAATCTCTGGTCACGTTTTCCTTCGGAAGGGAAGTAAAGCCGTTGGTCCCGGCCCATGTGTGTTGAATGGGTACGATATCCTACGCAGGTGTAGAAGCTGCCTTCCTGCACATTCGGTTGCCGTCAATAGATGGCAATCGATGTCCGTCGGTGATTGGCACTAGATTGCGGAACAGAGACCGACGTTAAATAAAGGAAAGAAAATATATATTCTAGGTATATTCCAAAGGAATTCTGAGGAGATTTCCAAGGGAATAGGAGAACCTGAAAGGAACTCCATGGAGTATTTCCATGCAATTCCTATGTGAATATCATGGAAGCTAAAAGAGGAATTGCATGAGAATTCTGTAGCATATTTTGAGGAATTCATGAGCAGATTTCAAAGGTAATTTAAGGAATAATTCCATCGAAATTTGGAGGAATACTAAAAAATGCTGAGAAACATTCCAAAAGAATCAGACGAATCCTGAAGAGAATTTTAAGGTAATTCTGTTACAATTATTGGAAATTCAAAATAGATTGCATGGAGTTTCAAGAGCTTTCTGTAGATAATATCTAGAATTCTTTGAAGAAAATTATGTAGGTATTCCCATAGGGATTTTTTTTTGATTATTTTAAAGAAATTCTGGAACAAATCTCATAAAAATTCTGTGAAAGATTCCAAGTTAAATCAAAATTAAAATTCCGAGACTTTGGATAAGTTTTAACATAATATTAAAAATTAAGTACAGCATTGCTAATTTAAAATAAATCAAATGTCTAAGACTTCTTAGGGTTCTAGCCCTTTGACAATTTTTAAGATACAGAACTCAAACTAATTTTCGAATCTGTGTTTTTAGAGTTATTATTGTGAAATGTGTAAACATTCAAAATGGCAGAATTGAAGAATTGTTTTTCAAGACTTCGAGACTGCGAAATGATTTTTCGTAGCAGATTTTTCTTCCTTTGAAATGTGATCACTACATTCGAGATGTTGCTCCCCCTATTTTGAAACCTGGTTACGCCGTTGCTCATAATAACCATTTTCAAGAAGCTACTTGAAATATGAACCCAAAATCTACATCTAATTCCAAATGTCTTCATGTGTCTTAAAAAAACATGAAATTTCTTCAAAATGTCTGCGGCAAATACAAGTCTTCACTCTGGCATCCCTGTTCTAGGTTCTTAGGAAGTGTTTTTCAATAAATTTTTATGTACATCCAATGGACATGTGCAAATCAATCAATAACTAACTTGATTATTTCAACCTTGTTTACATGTGTTGTTCAAATATATCTAAACAATCGTACATCAGTACAGATCAATTGACTATCTTTTAGTTGCGCCAATTGTCCCATAGCTTCTCAACAAGTACAAACTAAGGGCGAAGAAGATCCGAGTCCGTTCCTTTCTGTTCCACATCTAGAAACTTGAATCGAACCAACTACAAAGAGGCTACCAAAATTGTTGAACTGGAGTTGAAGTGAACAGACGCGCTCTTCTTAGCTGTAACGTCCCAAATCATAACTTTCTGATAACAAACTGATTTCCGTTAACATACTTACGACTAAAAGCAAAGTAAAAATCTCTCCAGATAGCATAAATATTGTCTTCAGTAATCCATCTTTCTAAAACCGATTCCATTTTTATAGCCACCCGCGCGCGTCTATGAGTTCCTCCTTACGCTAAATAGCTACAATTACAACTTCACACTGTCTACATCAAATAGGGAACTATGTACAACTCAATTTCTCAGATTCAAACGCTAATACTCAGTCCGCTATAAACGTCTATCTACACACACGTACCTACGCAAAGAAGAAACAACGCAGAAGTAACAAGTGAACCGCTGCTGAACTTCGTCCATCCTGTCCGTATTTCCAGCGTTCCGTTCCGTAGAAGTATACAAGCGTCGTCGTAAAATGAGGTAAAAAACGTCGTTGATAGCAATCGTTTCCGGAGCACAAAGTAGTACTGCTGGTGGCCAGGAGGATGCAATCGCTGCCGCCCTGCCGCCGTTGGGTAAAAAGGTACTCAAAAAGAAGAAGAAGATTGTCAACTAGTAGTGCCCGGTTGGCTACGGCCGCCGACGTCGTCGTCGTCGTCGTCGTCATCGTCTTGGTCGCTCGTTTGTGACTCGGTTGTTGGTCAGCTGGCTCGCCGAAGGGTTTCTTCGGTTGTTGGAGGACACTGACACTGATCTTCTTCAGCAACAGCCGGATCACTGCTGGTACTGCTGCTGCTATTACTGTTGGTGTTGCTACTGGCGCTGCTGGTCGCACTGCTTGTACTGCTGCTCATCTGTTGGATTTCATCGTACTCGATCTTGTCCAGGTCAGCCTGGATTGCATGCTGATGAGCACGAGGAGGAACCTCTGGAGGTTTGGCGTCCTCTTTGGGTTCCTCGTAGTCGTAGAAGATGTTGGAGGTATCACGTGGAAGGTTGACATCGATCGGTTCCGGATCAACCATATCGATGACCGTGTCCTGCGGAAGTGGAGGAGGTGGCTGCTGCGGTGGATGCGAGTGCTGAGGCGAGTCCGGAGACTCCCGGGGACTCTCGACGCAGATGGTCACCACTGGACGGGGTCCGTCGGTGCTGCCACCTAGAATTTGATAGTCAACATTCGTGCCAGGGGAGATTTTAATATCACTAGCTTTGGAAGGATCGCGAGGCTCTTTCACTTTGGTCTCGTCTAGAAGAGAGGTGAAGGAGAAACCGAAAAACAACAGGAAAACAAGAAACGGTTGGAAAAAGAAAGAAAGAGAGAGAAAGAGAAACACACGGGTGATGAAGGTGCAAACACACACAGAGAGACACTCGAAATGGTATTTCGGTTGGTTTGTATTGGTAACACACGCTTGCTGGCTTGGTGCTGACAGTTAGGATTACCGGAAATCGATGGGTTAGTAGCGGCTCTTACCTTTGTCATCGACGTCCGACTGGTATTCTTCGCTCTCGCGATGAACCAGGACGTGCACAAGCGTAGCTTCACCTGGCACTTTGGCGGCTAGATGGGGCCCAGTAGGCACATCCGGAGATGGTTCAGTCACGAGTATGCTGACGTCGGCCGTCGAGGCGGACAAATTGTCGTCAGCTGGAACACAGTGCCTTGGTAAACTCGTGTCTAGAACTAAAGGATTGAGGGCAAACTTACGCACTGCCACATTCCGATTGAGCCGCAACGCGCTCTGTGCCGAGAAGCCCCGTTCCAGCGGTGGCTTTTTCTTGACGAAGCTCGTTGCGCGTTTCGGTTTCATGATTGGAGTGGTGGGTGCCACCGGAGTTACCGCTTTGTCCAGCGAAGCGGTCAGCGAGAGGTTAGTCTCACTAGTTTTGAGCGGCCGCTTTTGCGGTTGTGGTGAGTTGGTAGACTCTTCTACAGCATCCTGATGGCGAAGAAAAAATGGAAAGTTGTAAAAGCTCCTCCGGCGGCCACCTTTCACTTCGGCAGCGTCCTTCAGCTCCAAACCATTGGCATGTTGCTGTTTGACGTCCTTGACCATGTCGCTGGTTCCGGAGACAAGCATCAGCGGAAGATTCAACCAAGGCCCAGCAAGTTCGCTTAGATCGGAAGCATCGGAAGCACGAGATGATTTACGAGATGATGCACGACTGGAGGTCGCCGTTCCGCGACGGTGCACCTGCAGGTGGAGGAAGTTCAGAGCGGATAGCTTACTTTGCCAACCGCCGGGACTTGACGTTTGGGTGTTATCGTCTTCCAAGGACATTGGAGAGCGCTCTCGCTCCCTCTTGCGTCTGCGAATGAAAGAATTACAATTATTGAATGCTCCTCAACCAGGGCTGCAATTTCAGATATGTTACCTCAGATAGTCCTTCCAAGCGGTCTGTATCGTCTTCGCTGCCTTTTCCTGTCGCTTCCAGATGCGAGTCGAGGAAACAATCTCCAACTCCTTACGGGTTGGGAATTGCTTCTTGAACTTCTGATCCATCTGATCTTGCAACTGTTTGAAATTTTCAGTTTCTTCCACATGTCCGAGGACATGCTTTACCAATGCGTGGAGAATGTCCAGGCAATGGATCTTGTTGCCCTTGGATATTGGAAGGTTGAAAGACACCAGCGCCACCGTATTCGGCTTCGGTATGCCTAACGGTGGATCTAGCGAAGCGATAAAGTCCGACAGTTGGTTGAAGTGTATGAACTGTCCTGCGTGCGGGTCGTACTTTGACCATCGGATGTAGAACATCTCCAAGTCGTCTTCGACGATACCGACCTCCTCCTCCTGGTGGGCTTGGTTGAAGTTTTCCAAAATGATAGCTATGTACATGTTGATTACAATCATATAACTGATTATAATGAAACTGGTGAAGTACGTTATCGCCAACAGTGGGTGGCCGCAGTCTCCGTTGCCCTGCGAGTCCTGGGGCAGATTGCAGTCTGGCGGCTGGATCATGAGCGACTCCAGAACATCGTTCCAACCAGCCGATGTCATGAGTCTACAGGGAAGGTACAGTTATTAGAATCATCCTCAAAGAACTTCATCTTGATCTTCTCGGAACTTACCGAAACAACAATTGCATACTTCTGCCAAACGTTTCAAAATTGACAATATCATCCAGCGCCCCCTGTTGCTTCACGTGACCGAACAACGACATCCCGATGATGGCGTAGATGAACGTGATCAACGCTAGCAGTGCCCCAATGTTAAACAGTGCAGGTAGTGATACTACTAAGGCAAACAGCAGCTTTCGTATACCCTTCGCAGCCTGCAAAACATCCTCCAATTAGACAACCGATTGACCTGACATCCCCGCATTCAAAACCCACCTTGATCAATCGAAGTATCCGCCCGATGCGGAACACCCGAACTACTCGGAGCAACGTCGGAGAGATGGGTAGATCGATCATGATGTCTTCCATCAGGATGCCGAAGATCGATGCCAACACCAGCAGGAAATCGAACACATTCCACGGCACGGTGAAGTAGTGATAGCGCAGACCGACGATTTTGACGATCGCCTCCAAACTGAATACGGTCGTGAAAAAGGCATTACTAACCTCCAGGATGAAGAATACCGCATGCGGTTGATTGTAGTGTTCGATGCCCATCGTGAGCATGTTCAGGAAGATCAGTACAAAGATGGCGATTTCGAACCTGAAAAGAGACGCAAACCCCAAGTAGCTAAGTAAACATGCAAGGATCCAGCATTAAAACTCACCGCCTCGAATTGGAAAGATCGTAGAACATTGCCAACAATTTATTTATGGGCCGCTTGATCACCTTCTGCGGTTTCTTCCGGCCTAGCTTCTTCATTGCCGTGTAGTAGTGCTTCTGTGACTCCGTCAAGAACATCTCCAGCACTCCACCCTCGTATTTTTTCTTCAACATGTTGAAGTTATCGATGATAACTCCGATGAACAGATTAAGCGTAAAGAACGATCCACACACGATAAAGATCACAAAGTAGATGTACGCGTACAGGTTTGCTTCTCGCTGTGGCTGCAGGTCAACGCCTCGGGCGTCCACGGCGTCCGCCATAACCTCCATCCAACCTTCGAACGTAGCCTAACGGGGATAGATGATCATCAGTTAGCAATCGTCGCGATCAACGAAACTAAGCTGCTTCACTACTTACCACTTGAAACAAAGCCAAGTAGCCCATCCCGACGTGATCGAATGTGATCTTGGAGTTGATCCAGGTGTAGTTGAGTGCGAAGCACTGCCACTTGTCGTTGACGATCTAAAGGGTGTGACAGGGAAGAAAGCAAGAAAGAAAAACGCACGGGACGGCATAGCAAAAGGTGGAAGGCGGAGGCGGGCGGAAGTGCAAGGGAATGAATGGTTCAAGAATCGATTAGTCGGCGGATCGAACAACTGGCACAGAAGTGTGTTATAGGGGTTTGAGGGGGTTGATGGGGACGTTCTCTACACAGCATCCGGACGTTTCAAAGCTTAAAGTGCAGCGAAGTCGTTTGCGACCTTTAAGCTACGCACGCCGCAGTAGCCAAAAAAACTTCTAGAGTGGGAAATTTTTGAGACTTGCAATATCGGGGACTTATTTGTCTGTGATCGCCATGGAGAGAACCGGTTTGGCCGGCTCCCAGGCGAATACTTACGTGGATTGGTAGCAGTTCGCCTTCCTCGTCAACACACTTGAAGAACTTCCCGCCAAAAAACTGAACGCCCATGATCGAGAAGATCAGCCAGAAGACGAGACATACTAGGAGTACATTGAAGATCGACGGAATCGCATACATCAATGCATTCACTACTATTCTCATGCCCTGCCATCGGGATATTGCTCGCAGCGGCCGCAGAGCGCGCAACGTTCTTAGCGAGCGTAGTACTTTCAAGTTTTCGTTCTCCTCGATCAGCAGTGAGAAAACCGACACCTGTGGGCGAAGCCGAGAGAGAGAAGAGAGAAAAAACCGGGTGCGAAGAAGAAAAGAGAAAGAGACGAGAGAGCGTGTGCCGATATGAAAACGGTCGGAATTAGCCAGGTGATGTTTCAAAATGTCTCAATCGAGTGCGTAATAATGTACGATAAATGAAAGGCCTGATCCATTTTTGATTTTTTTTTTTCGGCGGCCGAAATACGTACGAATACGATGATAAAGTCCAATATCGTCCAGAAGCTGGAGAAATAGTTGGTAAACCCCAAGGCGATCCACTTGAGCAACATCTCGATGACGAAAATCAGACAGAAGACAAAATTGGTCCAGTAGAGGATTAGCTTCAGCTGTTTGTTCTGGTCCAGATGGATATCTTCGAAGCACAGGGTGATGCTGGACGCAAAGATCAGTACCAGCACGAACCATTCGAAGGCCGGGGTGTCTACGTACTGCAGAATTTCCTGGCGAAATCGATACCAGCGTTGGCCGCTTTCGGTTTTGAGACAAGCGTCCCAGCATTTGCACCTAGTTGGAGATAAGATTCAGTGGGAAATGAGATTGAGATGTGCGCACAGATGGGATCGGTCCCAGATTGTTTAGTGGTGTTGTATGATTGTTATTTACAGTTAGATATTACGTTGCTCAGACGAACAAGACGCCAAACTACTTACAAAGGTTTACTATCTGTATTCTCACTAACGATATGAAATGTAGAACGAATCAGGCAATGGACATGCAATGGGTTGGAATATATGATAAAAAATGTACAGTTACAAGTTGGGTTCATTCATGATCTTAACAGGAGACTACAGTTATGTACACTATAAGCAATTTTAATGCAAGATTGACATAAAAGAAAAAGCGAAAAATCTGGGCTTATTTAGACCTGTGAATCTAGTACTTTATAGAACAGATCAAAGTGGTTAGTTAGACTGTTTTTAAGCCCAGACAATTGTTAAGCATTTATTATTTGGTTGGATTGTGTGAAAATATTTCATTTTGGATACCCGTCGTCATTTCGTCATTTTTAATAATAATAAGATTTGTATACAAATCGTGTATACTAAAATTATTTTTTTTTTGCACGAGGACAACAAAATTTCGAACATCAGTCACTTTCAGCTGTTGTCGAGGCCGGCAGCAATCTAGCGTTGGGACTGGGGTAATACGGTAGAGTGAAGCGTTTCATCCGGCAGAAATTCCCTGCCGAGCTGTGCATGTATACAGATGTACAAGGTGTATATTAGAGTGCTTCAGCGTTGATAATTTCAAACGCTACCCCCTAAAATGGTAGTTTGGGGGTCAGAAACACCCTGCCACAATTTGAAGTCATTTGGTTCATGGAAACCCCTCGCTCGTTTAGAACAAGATGGTGCGGAAAATCTATTCAGTGACCCGGATCAATCTTAATCTTAATCCTAATTATGTATTTTTGATCAAAGTATGTCTTGATTATTCTATGTAGCTGGTAAAATGGTGATTTTTGATATATTAGCTGGTCATTGGCTTCGAGTGGCCATCAGATGACACGCCAAAAGATTTGGAACATCCGTAAAATTGATTGCTTTGTTCATTTGATCAAAGTAGGCCTTGATTTGCTCGGATACTACATGGAATGTAGTAAAATGGTGAGTTTTGATATATTAGCCAGTCATTGCACAATGGACGAGGCTCGGTAGCTCAGTGGTTACCGTTTCTGCTTACTGAGCAGAAGGTCGGGAGTTCAATCCCAGGCCCCGTCCCCTTCCTTGCAATTTTTCACTTTGCCTTATTCTATACCCACTAGATTTTAATGAAAACAAATTCTTCTTTAACACCATCGCATCACTTACCACAGTGTTGGTCCTGATCTAAAAATAGAAATTGGATGAGTGCGCGCGCGCGTGTGTGTGTGTGTGTTTGTGTATTATAATCGCTCTACCAAAAACGATCCCTGCGTGTGCGTGCAACCTTTCCCGACATCCAACATCCCAGTGATTTCTCGTGGAAGCGCTGAGGATTTCTCGGTTTCCTTCACAACGAGTACTACGTCAACACATTCCTTTCCATTCCCTAGTTGACCTGCATTCGGACACGGCCGGCGCTGGTATTTCTAAATATTAGATCTCCAGTTCTTACACATTGAAGATGAATGTTAGTCCCAAACATCATCTGTTGGTTCTCTGTGTAATTGCAGCTGATCTGGTAATAACAGAGCAGCAACCGTGGGCGGTCAATCATGCTCATGCTTTTTTAGCCAGTCATTGCACAATGTTTTTTTTTAAAAGACATTTAATTCAATATCTCAAAACGCCGCTGGATATGATGGGATATTTATGCATCAAAAGTTAGCTTTTTTGACTAGAAATCAAATGCCTAGGTGGTTATGTACGACACGAATCATTTGGAGATATTGAATTAAATGCAATTTTTTAAACGAGCCACCAGATGGCCCACCGGAAGATCTAGACAATCTGTAAAATTCTCTGAATATGCAATGTGGGAAATGGTCTTTGCTAATATATGAGCTGACCATTGGCTACGAGTGGTCACCACATGGTCCGCCAGATGATTCGGAACATCTGTAAAATTAATTGCTCTGTAAACAAAGTAAGTCTTGATTTGTTCTGATATTATATGGAATGTGATTTTTGCATGGGGTAGGTCACTCCGCACACCAATTTTGGGTCACACTTTTTTGTGTGTGCCATAGGTTTGCCGGTCATAGAGTCGGCGATTGTTTGTAAAATACCCAACTCGGCAACCCGGTATTTCTGACACCTTGAATGTTTTGGTTTGAAATCGGTCCAGCAGCATTTCGGATTTAAATCTATAAGTGAACTGCTGTTTTGAGTTCCTCTAAATATTATATTTAATCAGAGAATGTTCCTGAATATACAGCCAAACAGCACGTAATGTTGTTAACAATTTCAGTGACAGTTTTCCAGCAGTACTCCCATTTTAATTACAATAATCCAATGCCTACGATATTGTGTCGGATGTGCGGCGAATAGAATTTCGGAAGCCCTTAGATTTTTGATATATTAGCCGATCATTGCTTCCTCGATTGCTTCTACGTGGCCACCAGATGGTTCATCGCTAGATCTGGAACATCCATAAAATTTATTGCTTCGTAAATTTGATCAAAGAGGGCCTTGATTTTTCTGTACATTTATATGCGATGTGGGAACATATTAGCTGGTCATTGGCTCCAAGTGGTCACCAGATGGTCCCCCAGAAGATCCCGAACATCCGTAAAATTGATTGATGTGTAAATTTTATCAAAGTTGGCCTTGATTTGTGTCTGCAAATTCATGAAATGCGAAAACACAGTGTGCATTTGCATGTGCATTTTTATATGGAGCTATTAAACCACCAACAAACCGACATGACACTTAATCCTGACTTATGCCCGAAAATCGTAAACTGCCGATTTAAATGTGCAGTGATCCAAACTGTCAAAACCATAGGATTTTTTTTTATCTTGATAAAAATATTTTGTCCAGAATAGCTCAGACACAAACCAATTCATAACTTTTGCATGCGGGTTCATGGCTTAGCTGAATATTTCCCGTGAACACGGAGCCAGATGTCAGTAGTGTGCTTTGGTCATAAATTTTATTGTTTTTGCTATGGTCATTCATGTCGGTTTGTCGGTGATTAAACTATTTATTTAACGATGGGTCATCTGAAAATTCAACCGGATTTTACGTTTGTATTCTATAATAAAAAGTAATGAAAAAGCCCCAAAAGAGCGATCCATCACTGTTTGTGGGTATTTACTACTATTTACTGGTTTACTATGGACTGATTCAAGCAACGTTTTCTTGAATTTGGGATGAAGTGGGGTAAATACCCCATATCCGGCCTATTAAGCACAACCCGCTTTAGTCTTTCTTAATCTAGCGTAGCACCAAATGGAATGTTATGATTACTGATGGCTTCTAAATTTATTTACCTTTCCGTACGTACCGTAAGATTTGATAAATAGAAACAAATTGTTGAGATATTGTTAAAAGTCTAACTCCTTCTTGACGCCAAATTCGGCCTACGGATTCTAAACTCGGCATAACGCATTTAAACGGCATTGAAACGCCAATGAATTCACTTCGGCCTATCGGATGAAGTTAAAAATTAAGTTAAAAATTGATTCGGTCGGAGCGCTTCATTTGTTTTTCAGAATATTGGGTGCAAACATTTATATCAGGCATTATTATTGACTTCGTTTGGTAGCTTTTGAACTAAAGTATCGTACCTAACGCCTAATTGACTTGTTAACTCTGAAATCATGGAATTATTGGATGTTTTATGCTCGATAGGCCCAAAATGGGTCATTAGGCCGAAGTAGTTCTCTACCCTACCCCATAATACTAACCAGTGGAAACTAACGATTTTAAATAGGCTCACACTGGACTAGCCTATCGGTCCCAAGTACATCGATTAACGTACCCCATTCTAGTTGATATTCGAGTACTACATGCAATTCTCAGGCTACCCAGTGACTGGGTAGATTACACCCATTCTTGCATTACGTATGGAATTTGTTAAAATTTAGGTGAACCAGTTTTGTGTAGATATGTAGAATCTACCCAGATTCTGGGTAATTGAGTCTTATAACAAAATCATATAGTAAAAATGGCGCGGCGTTGAAAGATTGCTGGAATAATTACTGTTTAAAATCCAATAAAAATGGAACAACAACGGAACAATTTGAATAGTGAAATTTACCAGCAGCTGGTTGGTAAGTATATTATAATGCGTTTAACATTAAACTTCGTCTTCTGGATAATAATTATTCCGGAATTAAGTGCCGCATTGCTGGCTGCCTAATGTTTGTTACTGGTAACGAAACAATGTACAACAATCATTTGAAATCGTACCACAATATACGATGCAGCGTTCTAAATGATATCCCCACCAACAAACCGATATGACACTTATTTCTGACTTATGCCCGAAAATCGTAAACGGCCGATTTAAATGTGCAGTGATCTGAACTGTCAAAAGTATAATTTTTTGATCTAGATAAAAATAATGTGTCCAGAATAGGTAGATCAGACACGAACCAATTCATAACTTTTGCATGCGGGTTCATGGCTTAGCTAAATACTGTCGGTGATTGCAATGTCGTATTTCATCATTAACAGTCATCAAGAGCCTAACGTGTCTGATGAGGTCGTGGTTGATGAAGCCAGTGAAGCAAATTTCCGGTCAATTCCAGTTCAGTTTGGCATCCAGTCGAACAAAGTACGTCATTCTTACACTGATTTATATAAATAAATACTGATATACTCGTAAATTGCTTCATTCTTGCTCTGTGTCTGGTTAAAGAAATTATTTGTAAGTTGGGTAAATGTTGGCCTTCGGATCTAAGATTCGGCCCATCGCTAAAAATCTCCTATTTATCAATTTTATCTAGATGAACGCGTCATTGGGACGGTACTTATGGATATTTTTGGTCGCTATTGAAAATTTAGTCGATTGCTGAATGAATGTATTGGCCCAAATTAGGGGCATTTAGGCCGACATTACATCCATTTCCCCTA